AGGGAAGGGCGGCACGGGCCGGGGCGCCCCCGCCAGCCCCATAAATCACCAGGCACCCAGCACAGTAAATCTGACCTCCCTTGGAAGGGAAATATAAATCATCTTTACTAGCAGCTTCTGAAACAAACACTAAGCTCATGAAACTGTAAAAATGCCTCTTTAAACTTCCTGTGCCCCAAACAGACCGTCGAAAGCGCTGTCAGGCTGAGGGAGAGCAAACAAGCTTTCCAAGAGATGAGACAGCCGGCGGGTTGATGAACTGAGAAAAGGTATTTCGGACTGAGCCGCTTCTTGCTGGCAGGCAGCACGACACAGATATCTTTAGCACATGGTAAAGACAGGGTAGGGAATCGCGACGAGTGAATTAGCCAGCATTAATGCCGCCATTTGTATTCAGCGGGCTTCAAAGCACTCGCAACGCAGACATCACCTGACAAGAAAAAATTACCCAAGTCTAATGGAGAGTCAAGTACAGAGACCACAGAGTAACAATCGCGGGGGGCTGGATGGGACCCTCAGGGCTGCCTTGCCCCACAGCCCCCGGCGGGGACGAAGCAGCCCACCTCCCTGCCTGCTCTTCCCTAACGCCTGCCTGCACAAATTAAACACCACTGCCCCACCGCTTAACGAGCTAACGTGGGATGGCTGTGCCCCCCAGACAGGGGCATGTCCAGAGGAAGTCTCACAAACCAGTGCAAAGGCAGGAGCTACTGGGCAGACCCAAACTGGGACAGGGCTCAGCAGGGACACAGGGTAGTTGCACCCACTCACGTCCCAGCAAGAGCAAGACTGCGCCTGAGATCTGTGGCAGGAAGTCTGCAGGGAATGTTATGGCTGCACAGAGGCTCCAGATGCCGAGGAAGCTGCCGGTGCTGGCAGTGCTAGCCATGGGAACAGCTATTTCAGCAACACACACGTGTGGATACGGGCCACCACCATGTGCCATTCACAAGCAGCTTCAAGAGGTGGGTCACCTCTCCTCCCGGGGCAGGTGTACGGCCAGGCAGGACTCTGGGACTCCCTGCCACCACTGCCACCTGCACCCTGCCATGGCACAGGGAAGGAATGTGGCCAGCAGCTGGCCCAAGAGAGGATGCTGCCCTCACTGGTGCGTGAGGCCAGCAGGGCAGTGCTGGGAAGGGACCAGCAGGGATGGGGGAGTTCTGGGGAAGGGGTTTGGAGCCCAGGGATACAACACCCTCCTCATGAGACCAGTCCGAGGCTAGAGAGCACATCGGTCCTGGGAGAAGCACCCACGTGCAGCCAGGGAAGGAAAACATGGCAACAACTGAGCCAAGGCCTCTTTGCCAGCTGCCTTGTTTTCCTGCAGATTTATTGTTGTTCCTGCACTCAATAAGAGCAGAGCGAAGGCCCAATAAGGAAACTTAAGTGATCAGTGGCTGCTAATCAGCAAAGCTTTCCAAGAGCTCACTGAAGCCAAGAGGAAAGGCTCAACAACCGCTCTCTGCTGACGTTTGCTAGCACGCAGCCAGGCAGCTGCGCCACCAACATGAGGCACCTCTTTCTGCTGACACGCCATGGGGCAGGGCGCTGTGAACAAACACACGGCAAGCACGCTTGCTCCTATCTTGCCTCTCCTACCATCTCAGGGCATGAGGGCAGGGCCAGCTGCCGTGCGGCACGGATAACCTCCTGCTGCTCCCACCAGTGGAGACCTGGATGTGGGCGGTCTTGGACCAAAGGATCCATCACTGCAGGAAGGAGCAGAAGCTTGGGAGCCAACCCCAAAAGTTTGTTAACTTTCTTTGCATTTCAAATACAAATGGATAACATCTTGGTGCAGAAGAAAAAGAGATCCTGCGTTGCCAGAAGCAGCTGCTGCAGCAGCTCAGCGGAGGCTTACCTTTGGGCATGATGCGATGCATTGCAACTGACAAGAAGAAGATTGAGTCACTGTAGTAGGTCCCTGATCCTGCACTGAAGTGTTTCTGCATGGCTTCGACAATTGGAAACAGCTTTTCTGTCAGCTCATTCACATCATGGACTATTACCTAGGAGAGACACCAGAAACACCCTCTCAGCTGCTGCCTCTGGGGACTGTCCCAGCGCTGGCAGCCTTTGCTCAGCCTGCACCGGCACGGAGCGGGTGGCGGAGTGGGGAGGCTGTTAAAGCACAAACACTGCAGGTTGGCCCTGCAGCTGCACAAAGGGGCCCAACTGCCCCGGCCCCAGCCACGAGAGCCAGCTAAGGCATCGGGGAAAGGAGGGAAGGATTTTTACAACCATTTCATAAACGTGAGATGGGCTGAGGGAGACTCAAATCCACTCATACAATCAAGTCTGTTCAATGGTTTTTGGTTTTGTTTTGGTTTTTTTTTCTGGTCTGTTCCCACTGCCTAATGCAACCACGTATCTGGTCTCCCATATGGAGTCCATCAGAAGAGGTGACTGTTCACTCCTGGTGTCCTGCTGTTTTGAGGCAAGCCAGACCACGTCACTCACCCTGAGCAGCAAGACTCGCTCTCTGCTAGAGGCATGCTGTGACAGGGCCAGGGACGCAGCCCGGATTTCCTGAACCTCAGCCTGGCATGGAGACAGGCTCTGCAGCACGTCCCACCAGGGCTGGAGGGGGAAAGGGAGGACAGGCCACAGCATGCTGGTGAAAATCCAAACATCAGCAGTTATAGCGGAGCCGAGCATCTTCTCTAGATGGAGCTCAGCCCGCTTGTGCCAGAGCTTTGTTCATGCTCAGCCAGCAATGCTCCGCACTCCTCAGCCCTGCCGAAGCCCATGCACCAGCAGCGGCCTCGGCACGCCGCGCACGTTGTGGCTAAGGGCCAGAAACAGGAGCAACTGCAGATGTACCTTGTCAGCTACTGAAATTTTACAAGCTTGTAATTAATTTTGGTCAAAGTCTGAGGAACAGGAACTTTCATGCAGCCTGATGCTCGTTATATGCACAGAGGACACAGGTCACTGAATCATGCAAGATAGCAGGAGGGATTTCCAGGGTAATTAAGAGAGACGAGAGGCATGACCCTGGTGCAGATAAGGGGAAATGCAGGAACTTGAACGTGGAGACTCAAGGTCGTGCAGCCTTCTCCAGGCCAGGGCAGGCAGGAAGCGTCCAGTGGGAACTGAAGGCTGGCGAGGACACAACTTTGCAGCAGTACTTGAATTTTGGAAAGGGGAGCCTATATCCCTTGTTTGAGAGATATCAAGATGCTTCCCCAAGCTGGCCCTGCCTTCAGCAGGGAACTGAACCCCACGATCTCCGTAGGTCCCTTCCAAACTAAACTATTCAATGGTGCTATAGTTTTGTTCCTTTTTCCAACTAAATCTTCATCTGCTTAAGAGCAAGGAGCCCTGCGCTATACACTCAGACACGCAGAACAGAGCACTCGCCTGCTTTTTCTCTTTAAAAAGCGCAAGTCAAGTGCTTCAGAGGAAGAGGCAGCTCTGGAGTCTGAGCTGGTGCAGACCATCCTCTCTATGGGATGCACAAGGGGCTGCTCTGACACCCAGACAAGCTGGCACAGAGACGGAAGCAGTGGGCAGTCTGGAGCTTCTTCCTCCCACACTTTCTTGTGGAAAACGTTATCCAGTTCAAAGCACTCTCGCAACAGCACAGAGCTCGCTGGAGGTTGGGAGCCGCTCGTGCAACCTGCAGTATGCTGAACGATGCAAGGTGATGTGCCCATCCTGACCCCCAGCACGACAGCTGAGCCTACGGTGGGGTACTGCTGGAGGACAGTCACACCACAGCCCCTCTCTCCTGGGGCGGGCACTCCACACACCCGCCCTTGGCCAAAGGCTCGATGCTGGCCTGTGCTATCAGCCGGGCGCTGTACGAGAGCCCTCGTGCTGCCTCTGCAGCCAGCGTGTCCCTCAGTGGGGTGGCCACGCTGCTGGCATCCCGGCTGCTGGGCTTGGGGCCAAGCGCCTGCAGGAGGATGGCAGGAAAAACACAGAACAATATGTACCAGGAAAGTGCACTGAGAGAGCTCATCAGCAGCCACACCTGGCTTTAGACAGCACAGCACACATAATCCTTCCCCAAAACACCACAGTGGAGGAAACTCCGTTACCGGCAACGTTACGGCAGCATCTGGCCCCAGCCCTGCCAAGTGGCGCGGCCAGCTTCACCATCACGCTCAGCACCAGCACCGCTGCAGAAGCAGGCGGGCGCGGCTGGGAGGAGATCGGCAGCACCAAGCGCTGCTGTCGGCAGCAATCCCAAGTGACCGAACACAGCAAGACACCATTCACCAGGTGCACAGAGCTGAGCCCCACCAGCACTGCTGCCACTGGGACGTGCGACGGCTTGCTCCCAGCTCAGCTCAGCAGTGGCAGCTTCGTCTGGCCAGATTGGAGAGGCATGGAAGAGAAATACAACATCTGTAACCGCACTTTGGTACCCAGCAAGGGCAGCCTGAGGTCTGCAGAGCACAGAGCAAAGAGCTGAGCAGGCGGAAAAAAAGTCAGACCAATTCCAGTCACCTCCGAAATGAGCAGAGTGCCAAGCACCAGTGGACAAAAACCATGGGAAGAACACTCCTGAAACTCCAGACACAGCATCATCTGCCTTCCCTCTCCTGCCAAAGAAAACAGAGGAAAGTTTGTGTCTTTTGCCCACCCTTTGGTTAGGCACTTCTTCAAAGAAAACTCCTGACCAGCTGAATCTTCCTTCCGCAGCCACAGGCCAGCCAGCCTCTCCAGGACTGCGAAGGCTTCTCTCCCCACTGCTGACTTTAGCACAGCTTGTTTATCTGCTGCTAATTTTGTACTTCGTTATTTATTTGTGTAGCAGCTTTCAGTAAATCCCGTAGCTAAATCCGACCACGTTTGCTGAGGATATTAAGAAAAGTAAGTTCTAGGGGTTTCCTGTGCAAGCACAGTTTTATAAACACACATCCTGCACCGAGAAAAGACCCTCTCGATTGATTCACTAGAAAAATTTGTGTTTTTTTTCACATTTTCTTTCTCTTTAACTTTCCCTCTCTCTCGTGCCAGGTGTCTTTGCAACCCTCTTCCAGGTGTGGGGTCACGGCAGTCCAGTTACCTTCACCCCAGCGCGTCTTCGCGCAGCACCAGACCCGCGGAGGAGTCGGCGTTTGGCAGCATCCTCTGTGGGGCCGATCTAAACAAGCAACCAGGCAGAGCAGCAAGTGGAGCATGCAGTTAATTTTACCCTCGGAGGATAACGGAATAAATACGCGATATGAATCAGCACAAGGAGTCAGACTGCACAGCCCAGAGCTGCAGGAAATGGGGTGAGTCGGGGTTCTTTGTAAGCACAGTATCAGCTGCTGAGATGTGTCCAGGCTCACTCCCGGGCACTTCCTGCTCACTGGGAAGGAGGAGACGCTGCAGAGATCACCCTGCGGCGCACAGGACACGCTCTCTGCAACTACGAGCATAAAAGCCCTGGTAAAAGCCCAGCGGAACCTCCGCAAGCCAGGGCTGGGAGGACAAGGCACGGGCGGGAAAGCCAAGACCTGCCTGGGTGCCGGCGTGCGGCAAGTTCTTCCTCCGGCATGGCTGCTCGCGAGTGCTTCCTGGCCAACTTCCTCCATCCTCGCTGCTCTCTACCCCACGCCAAAAAGCCACGCAGGCACCACATCGCAGAGCACCAGCTCCATCTGCTGCTCGCCATCGGCACACTGTGCTCCCAGCTCCACATCTGGGACACATCTGCACAGGCACTGTGGGACCGGTGACACCATGTCACCACAGTCCAATGGCTGTGACAGCCCAGCTCTGCCCTGCCCTGCCCCTAAGCTGCTCCCACACACCCCGCCACGGAGCATCCCACGGTACCCCTGCTCCCACCACCTGCACGCTGCTCTGGCAGGCTGCAGCCGGCTGCTTCCGTCTCCAGGAGATTTTGTCAGTACCTGAATTTGCCTTAGGGCAAATAAGTACCTTAGGGAGAGACGAGAGCTGGCCCACGATGTTCCCCAAGGGTTGGGATCCAGGTCTTCTGATTCCTGGGCTTCACTCTAACAGAGGACCTACCTGATCCCAGCTCTGATAGGAGAGGAGGGCAAGGACAGCTCCAGAAGCAGAGCCCGAATCATCCTCATGAAGAAAAAGTAAAGTTCAGGGTTGCCATCAATCCTGCGTCGGCAGCTCAAGCTGCCCTCCGAGCTCTTTATCAAGCCTCTGGGCCCAGTCTAGTAAAACAGTGTGAGAACCAGGAGTGTTCTCGGGGCACGATGCGAACCAGGAAAGGAGAGCTCTCAGGATGAAAATAAGATGGCTTACTGCTGGAGCTACCTGAGCATCAGTTTGAGGATCAACAGTTTAGCAGCACCAAAGGTCCAAGTTACAGTGACATTTCCTGGTGATAAAGAGGAGGAATGAAGTAAAACACAGCAAGAATAAAGAGGCACTGTCACCTACTGGCATATCAGAAACTGTCCCAGTATTAAGGGCAAGGCTGTATGCTTAGAAGCAGGCAACAACCTCTATTCTCTAGGAATTCTCTACCTAAAAGCAGAGAACTGGAGAGGTCTGAAGTGTACTGACAACCACGGGCTAGCTAATGAAACCAGGACACATCAGGCTCTGCCAGGAGAGGGAAGAAGCTGTCCCACTGAGCAGATCTCAGTGAGATCTCACCTGAGCCCTCCAGACCACACCGCTTGCTCACATCCAAGAGATCAGTTCTGGTGCAGGCCCTACTCACCAAATGTTAGTCAGGCATTACCAGTCCACAACCACCTACGGACAGACAGCGACCCATCTTGCAGAAGACATGTCAATGCATGCCCCCATCTCCCGCAACGTACAACTCACACACCCGTGACCTGCTGGAGAAGCTGCCTGCAGGGGAATTTGGTTTCTGAGAGGAGCAGAGGGCAGTAAGGCAACCACACGCACAGAGGGGTGACTGGGAGAGACCCACACATCATGATGGCCCGGAGGTCCACCTGCTCCAGGGAAAACGATACCACAAACCTGAGCTAGGCTGGGCACTGCACATTTGCACTGCACCATCATGGGGCACCACTAGCCCACCCCACTGCAGCAGGGTGGAAGCCTTCAGACAGCTGAGCACTGTGGCATAGCGCAGGTTACTCACCACAGATATGTGCCTGAGAGCACCAGCACTAGTAAAATGCTGTTTAAGAACGAGGAGAGATGAGATTATTTACCAACAAATGCTTTGTACAAACGGTGTTAAGGTTACATCTCTAGTTACATCTCAGGCTTTCCCAGCAGAGTTCAGCTAATATAAAATACCTGAAAGATGAGAAATGAAATGGCTTTAAAATGAAAGAGGGCAGATTTAGATTAGATATAAGGAAGAAATTTTTCACTCTGAGGGTGGTGAGGCACTGGAACAGGTTGCCTAGAGAAGTTGTGGATGCCCCATCCCTGGAAGTGTTCAAGGCCAGGTTGGATGAGGCTTTGGGCAACCTGGTGTAGTGGAGGGTGTCCCTGCCCATGGCAGGGGGGTTGGAACTAGATGGTCTTTGAGGTCCCTTGCAATCCAAACTATTCTATGATTCTATGATTCTCAGACACCTGTTTAACGTGAAGGAAAGCCTGACTTTGCACAGATTGCATTGACTACACTTTAGGAGCTGGAACTGTTTCGGTAGCAGGATAAACATCCACCCCCCAAGCTTCACAGTCCCTTAAGAGCCAGTGCAGCAGGGCGACAGCCTCTTCTCATCACAGTCCCGCAGGACCACTTGGGAAGCCACGTGCACACAAGCACTGAGTCCTACTCGGCAGCTTTGTGCTCATCAACACTGAAGCACACACGGGCCTCCTGCTGAGACGCCGAACGGGGGCTAACACCAGGGTCTCCAGGAGAGGAGCAGCACTGCTCAGAGACACCGCCAGTGCAGCAGGGCGACAGCCTCTTCTCATCACAGTCCCGCAGGACCACTTGGGAAGCCACGTGCACACAAGCACTGAGTCCTACTCGGCAGCTTTGTGCTCATCAACACTGAAGCACACACGGGCCTCCTGCTGAGACGCCGAACGGGGGCTAACACCAGGGTCTCCAGGAGAGGAGCAGCACTGCTCAGAGACACCGCTCTTAAGCCACCTGGTCACGGTAAGATGACCCCGGAGCTGCCCCAGGACACCTCCCAGCTGGCAGCAGAGGAGCACGGGGTCTCAAGCCCTTCAAAAGATGGATGAGACTGGGGAGAGATGGAGCCTTCTCCAGCACAGCGGCAAGCAAACACCTCTGCAGGGAGCTCAGCTGAGAAAGTTTCTTTTCCCTAAACTGCTGCTCCCGTTAGGAGGAGAGGTTTACAGGGAGATTAACGTTACTCAGAACCCGCTGGCGGGTGACGCTGGGCAGGAAGGCAGGC